GGTTTTCTAGGTATAGGATCATATCATCAGCAAATAGGGATAGTTTGACTTCTTCCTTACCAATTTGGATGCCTTTGATTTCCCTTTTTTGCCTTATGGCCCTGGCTAGGACTTCCTGTACAGTGTTGAATAGAAGTGGTGATAGAGGGCATTCTTGTTTGGTTCCTGTTCTCAAGAGAAATGGTTTCTGTCTCTCTCCATTAAGTATAATGTTGGCTGTTGATTTTGCATAGATGCCCTTTATTATGTTGAGGAATGTCCCTTCTATTCCTACTTTGCTGAGAGTTTTGATCAGGAATGGGTGTTGGATTTTATCAAATGCCTTTTCTGCATCAATTGATAAAATCATGTGGTTCTTTTTCTTTGTTGTATTTATGTGGTGGAGAATGTTGATTGTTTTTCTAGTTTTGAACCATCCTTGCATACCTTAATATGAACCCCATTTGGTCATAATAAATAATTTTCTTGATGCGTTGTTGTTGCAGTCTATTGGCTAGGATTTTGTTGAAGATTTTTGCATCTATATTCATGAGGGATATTGGTCTGTAGTTTTCCTTTTAAGTGATGTGTTTGCCTGGCTTTGGTATCAAACTTTATGAAATGATTTAGGGAGGATTTCATCCTTTTCTGTGTTTTGGAATAGTTTGAGTAGGATTGGTTTCAGTTCCCTGAATGTTTGGTAGCATTCTCCAGTGAACCTGTCAGGACCAGGACTTTTTTTTTTGGTAATTTTTTGATGACTTGTTCAATTTCTTCTTTTGTTATGGACCTGTTCAACTTTTCCACATCAATCTGTGTTAGGTTAGGTAAGTGGTGTTTCTAGAAATCTGTTCATTTCTTCCAAATTTTCAAATTTGGAGTACAATTCTTCATAGTATCCTGATATTATCCTTTTTATTTCATTTATTTTGTTCTGTTTTGATGTCACCCATTTCATTTCTCATTTGTGTTATTTGTATTCTCTCTCTCTTTTCCTTTGTTAAATTTGCCAGTGGTTTGTCAATTTTATTAATCTTTTCAAAAAACCAACTCCTGGTCTTGTTGATTTTTTCTGTTGTCTTACTATTTTCTGTTTCATTGATTTCTGCTCGAATCTTGATTATTTTCTTTCTTGTGACTGTAGGCTTTTCTTGCTGTGGTTTTTCTACTTGTTGGAGACATTGATTTAAACTATTGATTTTGGCTCTTTTTTCTTTTTTGATGTGTGCATTTATTACTGTAAATTGGCCTCTGATCACTGCTTTTGCTGTGTCCCCAAGATTTTGGTGTATTTTGTTTTCATTCTCACTTGATTAAAGGAATTTTTCAATTTTACTTTTTATTTTTTCTCTTGCCCAGTCTTTCTTAAGGAGGGTGTTGTTCAGTTTCCAAGTGTTTACTCTTTTTTCCATTGATCTTTCTATTGTTGATTTCTAATTTGATAGCATTGTGATCTGAGAATATGCTTTGCAGTATTTCAGTGTTTTTAAATTTATGAAGGCTTGCTTTATGGCCTAACATATGGTCTATCATGGAAAATGTTCCGTGTGCACTGGAGAAGATTGTATATTGTGCTGTTGTTGGGTGAAGTGCTCTGTAGATGTCTGTAAGGTCAAGTTTTGGCTCTTATGGACTTGTTTTATTTTCTTCAGCTTCAACTTCAACTTGTATATGAGCAGTTGATGGTCTTTTCCACAGTTAGCTCCTGGCCTTGTTTTGGCTGAAGATATTGAGCTTCTCCATCACCTCTTGCCATAGATGTAGTCAGTGTGATTCCTGTGTAGTATGTCTGGTGAAGTCCACATGTATAGCCGCCATTTACATTGTTGAAAACAGTATTAGCAATAAATAAGTCATTGGTCTTTGACCAGGAGGCTGTCGTTCGAACAGAACAAGGGAACACTATATGGTTTAAAATCAAGAAGGGAGTGCGTCAGGGTTGTATTCTTTCTCCACACTTATTCACTCTATATGCTGAGCAAATAATCCGAGAAGCTGG